TTGTTGGGGACGAATGACATCAACCAAGGAGACCCATGGGGTATGACACCACTCACATGGGCCGTGAGGGGTGGACATGAGGAGGCAGTGAAGCTGTTACTGGAGCAGGAAGGGGTCGATCCCAATAAGCCAAGCAACAAGGGTAGTTCACCCCTCGCCTGGGCTGCGTTTGATGGGAATGAGTCTCTCGTTAAGCGACTTTTGGACTGGGAAAATATCAATCCCGACAGGCAGGACTACAACGGCAGGACACCCGTTTCGTGGGCTGCATCTCAAGGGCACGAGTCGGTGGTTAAGCAACTTTTGGACCGGCGAGATGTCAACCCCGACAGGCCAGATAACGAGGGAAATACACCACTCCTATGGGCTGCAATTGAGGGGCACGAGTCGGTGGTTAAGCAACTTTTGGACCGGCGAGATGTCAACCCTGACAAGCCGGACAACGAAGGCATTACACCCACTTCCTGCGCCGCAATGCGTGGACACGAGTCAGTGATTAAGCAACTTTTGGATCGGAAGAGGTCAACCCAGATAAGCAAGACAACTCCGGCTTTGCACCCCTCATCCGGGCTGCCTATAATGGGCACGAGTCAGTGGTCAAGCAACTATTAGGCCGAGAAGATATTAACCCTGACAGGCCAGACAACGAGGGCAGGACTCCTCTCTCGTGGGCTGCTGAGGCGGGGAGAGAACCAATAGTGAATCTATTATTGGGACAGCAAGGTGTGAACCCCGAGAGACCGGACAAAAATGGTTGTACACCACTCCTTTATGCCTCTGAGGGCGGGCACCAAGGAGTGGTGAATTTACTGCAAGCCTGGAAACCCACAACCCCAACCCTCTTTGCGGTCGACAGACTACGGGCTTCTTTACCCCTCACCAGTCTCTAACCGCTGTTACACATTATTCCCACATCGTGCCCATAATTGTACTCTACATTCTGGTTTTTCACCCTCTCCTCTACATCTCTCAAGCGCGACTTGAGTCCATGTTCCGGTCTTCCGGCCACCTCTACTTTTGTTCCCTCTTTCCTTTGTTTCTCGGTTAGTTCATATTCCCTGGCTTGAAAACACTTCAGGCGTGAATTTTCTGGTGGCTTTACAACGTCGGACAAGGCATTCTTGGAATTAAGGTAAGCCTTCCGGATATTTAATCATGTGATCGTGTGAAGAACCCGGTTTCGATTCTGGGCCATCGCAGCGGAGAGGTGGGGGGCATTTTCCCCCTTTACTCTTGCTTTTGTAACTTTTCATTGCTTCGTTGATCCTCATTTCGATCTCACATTCTAGATACCCCTCTTCATGTACGATGACTCCATTTTCTTTGTTATATGTTCTAGATTTCTCCCCCTCTGCTTTCTCCAGCCACTGAGATGTTTATAATTGTGACAATTTATGCCAGATTACCATCCAAATTACTACAACTCCCCCATTTCTCAACAGCCAGGTGTTCATTCAGGTTCGCCCACCGAGCGGCTAACGATACTCAGGCGCGGACCTAAAATAGGGCCCGCACTCCGACAAACTCTGAGTATCGCAATATATCCAAAGGAAAAAAAAAATACGCCCTTAACTTATAAGAGCTCGTTCCCGTTCATTGCCCTTCTAGAAACCTTATTCAGAAGTCACGGGCCTCCCACGTCTGCTTGGGCCGCCGTCGGTCGTTATCATGCTGCCCTATATCATTTCCCTAGGCTAGCTAGACCACTTCCATTGCTTCCGTAAACTAACTAGGACTTATCCGGGGCATCCCGAGATGGCTCGGGGTGGCTGTATCCGCCCAGTCCTACAACGGCAAGGAAGGATTTGCGAGCCAATTGAAATGGTGAAACGGTGGGCTTCAGTGCGGAGTAACCCACCGGTGGTATCTAACCACGGTTACCGAGGGCGTGTTTAAATGGTCTATCCTGTAGGGAGTTAGTACGTGCAGTAGGCGTGGCGCTCGGGAAACAGCATCCATGGCGGTGGGGCGGGGAAGGGGTATCATCAGTCATCACCCGATCTACAAATCAGCAATGTTTCTAAAAAAGTTAGGATTCCCGGGGCTTATTCTGTTCGGCAAGGTATCTAAACGTTACCTGTACCCTCTCCACGGCAGAAAGTAATTAGCTGTCAATTATTTGTGCTCTCCGGGTCTGAGATTCTCATGCAGCTGTTGCTTTCTGCCGACCGACCTGGTCTGTGACTAAGGATTGGATGCGGGACTTGGTAGGGAGTGGTATACTGGTGGTGAGAGTGAGCGATCAACGCAGGGTGCCCCCGTGCCCCCACGGTGGAATTATAGTACGCCGCGGGGGGGGGACAATAGAGGCACCCGAGGTGTTCAATAGTTGTGATAGATGTCTCCTGTAAAGTCAGCCTTCTCCACTCTTTATTAAACAGAATATCCGCATGATTAGTGTTCCTTCACTACGTCTTTTCACCTCCGAGTCCACATTACAAAGCCCTTACCCCTCCACAACCTGCCCGCAAGCCTAGCACTATAACCTCGGTTAAGGGTTTGTTTCATGAATCCAATTCCGGAAAATATTTGCACGTATCGAAGCCCAGGGGATGTTCATAACGGAGACTATGCGTGATGACAAGCCGGCAGGAGCTCATTGGACGGGGCCAAAATGTGACTATTTATAAAAAGGATACTACTAGTACTTGTACTGAGTGCCCTATTAGTGTTTCTCTGGATTGTTCTAAGGAGGGTTGACATCATGCTTGTGTTGACTTAGCAGGGGCACTCCGGCGTTTCAGAAACCTGTTAGAATGGTACCGGTTTGAGGAACATTGTACACTGAATTCGCAGATCACACGCAGCACCGATTCTATGGTTGCGGTATCCCGTTGAGGAATTAGGGTAACTCGAATACTGGTAGTTCTATAGTTGGCCGCAGTGCGGCAGTGCCCATCCTAACTTTTGACAAGCTCCATCTTTCAATCCACTATGCCAACGGGCAATATCAGTGAATTAGGTTATACACTCCAAACTTCCGTCAGAGATATAAGACCGAAGGGAATCCCTGCCCAGGCGGGACAAACACCGGGACTTACCGGGGGGAGCAGCTCCACTAGCACATGGTTCGTTTATCACGGTTTTTATGGTAAGTTAGTCGACCCGACATGAAGGAAACAAAATGGCCGCGCATGCGAGAAAAGGGAGGATCGCATGAAGGAAAGGGGGCTGGCGGGCAGATCGCGACCGTGTTTTAAATATTTTCGTTCTCTTTAATGTGCTTTGTCCGTTCGGACAATTGATGTGCTAGGATGTATCAAATTTTCCTCTTCTATAATATTATCATACAATACAGCGGTGGGCAGGATGAGATGTGACTTAACCGCACAAACACAAAGCATGCTACTTCATGCTTTCCATTCGACGCCTTCCGGAGCTGTAAAGAGCCCGGAAAACCGATAGCATTCCAGAATTCTTTCAAATATCCCCCTCCCAAATGCCCACAGACTATTCAAAAATTGTTGGTCACTTGGGCATCCCATAACGTAAGGTTGAAGCTTATTAAAGTGCCAAGCCAGGAAATTATCCATACAAACCTGCCCCAAAATGTCTCAAGACCAATGTACTGTACCGTGCTTGAGCATTACCATTTTTAAAAAATTGGTTTTCGATTTTTAAAATTTCCTTTTCACATCATGTATGATTTCAGAGGTCTGGTAAAGCGGTGTGAAACTGTATTTAAGGTTGGTACCTGCACCAGTTACGGAGCTCCAGACCTCCGTATCTACCAGAAAAAAGAGTATGGTACTGTACTTGTACCTGTAAGATAAAGTTAAGTAACAATGGATTAACCATTTCTGTGCATGCCAAGTTTACCGGGAGTAGCAAAGTAAGGGGTACGGTATTCAAAGTTAAAAATGTAGCAAAAACTTAGCTTACTTTACTGTTTCATGTAAACTTGGCATACACAAAAAAAGGCTAGTTTACCATTACTTAACTTTATCTTACAGGTACGAGTACCGTACAGTTCCGTTAGTGCATCGTACTTGAGAATCAGCACCATCCAATACGATCAAATCTGTATTATTAGAGGCTCAGGCTGACAGAATACTAGGATTCCAAAGTGCACGGCTAACTTACTCGTACAGTAGAATGCAGGAAAATTCTTGGCAGCCAGGAGGTCATTGTTAAATGTGACTGATCGTCTCATGTATCATGCGGCGGAGCGAGACATGCGCAAAATGCTAGCCACCATCAGAACTGCGACTGGGGGCCAACTAATATGGGCTTTATTTCCCCGACCCCCGCAGTTAGCGCTCCGAAGTTGCAATACCTTATTGTCCACCTCACTCCGGCCTCTCACCCACGCAGACTTCAGACTTCTAAGACTTCAGACTTCCGGAGATTAAATTTCAATCTTCGCAACTGCCCCGAGACCTGATCGCTGTGCTCATATACCCATTCAGTACCCTGATGCCAGATCTTTGGGCTTCACCAAATTCGAAGAACCCGAGCTAGGATTAACTCCCATACCCCTCAGAATTATTCACCTATACATCTAAGGGTGCGTCCTCAGCTACCCGCTCTACCATATGTCATGTTATTGACTTGTTTCCGGGTTTGCGAAAAGATTGTGAACTACCTCAATTCGTGACATAGGGGCTACGATACCTGCTACGGATGCTATAGCGGCATCATATACACGACCTTTGGAAACAGCCCTAGCAGTCAGCTGAATACATGATGGATCAGTGGGCTCCCTTCCGTTCAATGGCTGTGATCTCAAATATGATAAGCACTCAGCTAATAATCTTCCCAGACAAATCCAAGGCTATATTAGGGGAGACTTTGGCGGCAACCGAGGGGATCATAATGTTTTTGGTAGCTTTAACGACACATACACGGGTTACCTGAACAATGCTGCCAACCATGGAACAATATATCAAGGATGTGTATTTGGACCTGAGGCCAGAGGTATTCTCAGTATTCCAGAGAGATTTCGGGAAAGAACTAATGTGTTATTGCAACTAGAAGAAGCAACTAGGCTTTATCGGATAATCCCCTATCGCAGAAACACCAAGTTCACTGGCCGCAAAAACCTGATTGAGTTGATGAGGAGGTTTTGCGGGCATAACGATCATACGCGGATCGCACTTCATGGACTCGGCGGTTCTGGGTATGTATTCATTATCGTCACTATTATTTCGGGGAATTACTAACCTTGTTTAGAAAAACCCAGATTGCTCTGGAATATGTCTATCAGCGCGCAAGCGAGATGGATTGTCATGTTTTCTGGGTGCCGGGGAGTGGGGTACTAAAATTCACTGAGGGTTTCAAAACTATCGCACAGCATGTTCGAATTCCACTAGCCGGCGCCGAGATGAAGCAAGAGGAATTACTAGCTAGTATAAAGAATTGGTTTGAAGGTCCAGACAGTGGTGATTGGATACTCGTGATCGACAATGCCGACAACGAGGAGGACTTTATTGGAAACAGCGGCCCCATCTCCAAATTTGTACCACAAGGCCCTAGGGGTACACTAATATTCACCACCAGATCACTACGGGTTGCATCTTGGCAGGATTGCGAAAGGATCGAGGTTGGAAAAATGGGGGAGGATGAAGCCACGGCGTTGTTTTCAAAACGCTACGGTAGCTGGAACAGTTTGGGAGAGGAAGAGAAAGAGGCAGTCACATTGGTCTTGGTCTCCTTGCACCACATTCCGCTTGCTATCGTAGGAGCGGCAGCCTTCATGACAGAAACCCGGACACCACCATCCACTTACTGGACCATTTTCCGGGGAAGCGACGAACAAGCGAAAAAACTACTTTCACAGCCGTTTTGCGATATCCAGCGAGAGGCGGATATTACCGAAAGCATCCTAACCACGTACTTTATTACCTTTGACCGAATCACGCGGCAGATGACCCTAGCGGCGGAGCTTCTGCGTTTAATTGCCTTCTTCGATCGTCAGAACATACCGGAGGAGCTATTGAATCAAAGTGGTTTGGAAGGGACGGATGATCCAATCGAGTTTCGTCAGGCCATTGGAAAACTATTAGGATTTTCACTAGTTACGACGGTCAAAACTCAGGACGGGGCGTTTTACGAGCTCCACCGTTTGGTCCAATTGTCCTTGCAGGTGTATTTACCAACAGAGGAATTGACCCGATGGAGGGCTACTGCTCTGGGGGTGGTTTTAGAATTGTTCCCGCAGAATTGGGTCACGTGGAGAGACGTCAGTTCTGCATACATTCCACATGCACTCATTGTAACCAAAGATTCAACGGATCCCATTGCCGGAGAGCTTTGTTTTCGCCTGGGACGGTACTTTCTGGATATGGGTTTCTACAATGACGCGGAAGTTCAATTGCGTCGATGTACAGCGCTGCGGGAGGAGGGTAACGAGTATGACTGGGATGAGGAAGGTGCAAGGAGGGTCATGCTCTTGGGGAGGGTAAACGTATATCAGGGAAAGGCAGATGTGGCCGAGAAGTTGCTTAGGGATTTATTAGAGGAGATTGAGGGATCATTGGGCCTAAATAATCCTATGGTCCTAGAGGCTTTCTATTCCCTGGCTCTGGCACTACGACACCTTGGAAAGTACGGTGAATCGGAGGAATTGAATCGGCGTGTACTGGAGGGGTACGAGAAGATTCTTGGACCAGACCACCCACACACCATCGTAAGTGTCAACGACCTGGCTCTCGTGCTGCGATCCCAAGGAAAGTACAATGAATCGGAGGCGATGAATCTGCGTGCACTGGCGGGGTATGAGAGGATTCTTGGACCAGACCATCCACACACCCTAACAAGTACCAACAACCTAGCTACTGCGCTACGATCCCAAGGAAAGTACAGTGAAGCAGAGGCTATGAATCGGCGTGTACTGAGGGGCGCGAGAGGATTCTTGGACCAGACCA